GACCTCGTCGCGACGTACATACTCATAGTGGTCTATGCGACCCTCCACGTGATGCTGAAGCGGCAATTAAACATAGTGCATTCGTACTGTGATGGAGATCCACACGCTATTTGCACATATGAAACGCAACAATACTCACGCCATCAGTTGGTATTCCGCAGTTTATAATTTGCCGCTCGAAGTCGCGATATATTTTCCATTCCCCTGCAGTTACAGGCTTGTGCACCTGCGAGAGGTGAATCTTTGCTGTACCCATAAATTGCGTTATTCCCCTCCCTAGCTGCTCAGCTATCTAAATAAGTAGAGAATGAAAGGCAAGCATCATATTGTTCTCCCCTCATGGCAATGGCAATCACAAACAAATACCTTGAACTCCAACGAGTCTCTCTGAAAACGATCACTATGCGCTCTACTGAGATGTTCGTAGAGTCGATACTCTCCTTGTTTCCCACAAACAACGCAGAAATTCACGCCTTCACCTGCATGTTTCGGGTAGAACATCACTGTAAAATGAACAAATAGATATATCAGATTATGCATTATCCCTCACCCTCTTTCATCTCAGTTGGCAACACTTTAATAATTTGTTCCTGCTTCAATCTCTCGAAATTCTCCTCAGCAGCATTGCCAATTTCCACAACCTTCTTGTACTTTTTTGATCCAAGGAGACGCTCAGCCATTTCGCTATTTGGTTACTAATAAATCAAAGACTAATGCTACACAGAAAGTTATAAAGAGCAACAAGATAATGAAAATCGCGCAAAATGCTAGCGTATTAGAAATATAGGAGAGTCTTGAACCCTTTCCCACAAATGCACAACAATCTTTTATGTTTTGATCAGTATTCCTAATTAACTGTTGATTACCAACAATAAACCCCTTTTCGGCTCTTCAAAGTTCCTAAACAATCCGACGCTCTTCTCTATGGCTTTAGTCTTCGCAAATCGTGTGTTGGTGGTGGATGGCCAACAAGAGGATCCAATCATGATAGATCGGAGGGCCAGACATTTGCCGTCCAACATCCATTTAATTCCGCCAAAAAGCTCATCCATATTCACTCGTCTCATCCTTAGAGGCAAGGAATACGATGAGAGAAGTCTAGATCAGCAGAGCATATAACAATTAGCAAGCAGAGTAGAAGCCAAATTAGCTTTGAAAGACTATAGAAGATCTGCCTTGAAGCAATATGCACTTGATCGGTCAAACAACATAAAACGAGGCGAAAAATACATTCAAAAAAAGAAGTTAGGCAAAAGAACGCATACAAAATAAGTATGTATGCTATTATTATCTTAATTCGCGCGCGAGATTTATAATGCGTACAACGGAAATGTTTAGATATAAAAGTTAAGAGTGCATCATATATTAAGAACAAAAAACATCAAGAACCAAGCGAAATGAGCGAGTGATTTCATTGAGAATATAATAGATCAATGTACTGTCTGCTTTACTGCCACTTCGCCTGTTAAGATATAGCTCATGTTTAGTTACCTATTGTTCTCGCGCAAAAAAACACCTCAGACACTCACATCAACCAGCGACCGTGCCAAGGATTATAGGCAGCTCGCTATGGAATGGGTGCCCCAATCATTTAGACGTAAAAAATAAACGCGCGTCTACCCAACGCACAATTGCGCGGTATTTAACGCCAACTTAAATAAGATTTTCTCATTTTGTCTATTCTGCTATGTCGGTGCTATTTTTCGCCTTTTTCGCCATATTCGCCTATTTTCTCTTCAGGTACGTTTTTGGTTTTTCCTAGTCTTTAATCGTTTTCCCTTGTCTTCTTTTTCTGAGCTCGATTTTTCTCCTGATTAGGCATCTAGCTCAAAGATCCAAGGGAGAACAAATGTAATTGTTTACGTCAAGTTTTCGTTATGAGTCTGCTTTGTCCTCTAGCGGCAGGTGTAGTCATATCATTTATGAGATGTGAACCACCCATTGAGCAGAGGAAAAGCTTACTTTTAATCTTTAATTTTTGTACAAATTAGCATAACATTACGATTAATTGGTGCTGAAACCATGACGATTGTTGAAAATAATGAATCAGAATTGGTGTTTTACATGATTACAGTAAGAGAAGTTCGACCAGCTAGCCTAGGAACTTCTGTTATAATGAGATTACTCCTCTGATGACCTAGTGTCTCAAGCAATTCCAAATGTAAACTGGTTTTTAGACATACCCGTGATAGATCACACTTAACACCCTAAGTAACGAGTGAAAATGGCTATGACACCCTACTATAAGGTTGATTAGGCAGTGCATGGATGTGATAAAAGCTGGTAATGGTGGTTACATGCGAATCACAATATTTGTTACATGTTATTCCCGATAGCGTTAAATAGCTCACATCTTGAGTATGTGTATGGCAAAGGAATTTTAAAACAGGCGTAAAAACAGTTAGTGTTTCAATACTGAATGACTAACAAGGAACTGCTTTCTACTCCAAAGGCCATTCAAAACCAGAATTCCATAAAAACAAGTTGGGTATGGGGAACTCAAATCTGTCTTCCATACCTGCGAAACGGTTTTCTGGGAGATGATATGGGCACTTTTTTACCACGGGGCCACCTACAATAAGTCTTACCTGTGCATTGCGAATAAGTGATAGGGTGGCGCAGTGATAAGTGTCTTGATTTGCAGATGTGCGATGCAGGTTCGAACCCCGTCGTGGACGAACATTCTGCGTTTTTTGCAATTACGTGTGATTGCTAGAGAAAGCTTTTATATGCAATTAACTTGTTGATTTATTGCCATAAGTCAAGCGAAACCAATGATCAGATGTCAATTTGATTTTATTTACATCATGAACATATGCGATAGTCGTCTTTAAAGAGTGAAGAGCATATCCCTTTCCAAACTCCTGCTCAGATTTTTCTCCTGATTTCATAAGTTGTTACAGTGCAAACAATTGTGACGAAGAACATCTCCTTCGATGCGCTGACTGTGAGCAGATTTGATGTTTTAAACTCTTTATGGACGACTATCACATATGTTCATGATGTAAATAATTTCAAATTAACATCTAATCATTGGTTTCGCTTTGACTCAGGACAATAAATCAACATTGATTGCTTTCTCTAGCAAGCACACGTAATTGCAAAAGACGCAAAGTGTTCCTCGACGACAGGATTCGAAACCTGCAGCGCTCATCAAACCAAAACACTTACCACTGCACCACTCTCGCACTTACTTGTAATGCAAGCACACATTGTAGGTGGCCTCATGGAAACAAGTGCCCATATCATCTTCCAGAAAACCGTTTCACAGATATGGAAGACATCTGAGTTCCCTTGCTCAACTTGTTATTATGGAATATATCTTGTTTTAAAGGCCACTTCGAGTAGAAAGCATTCCCTTGTAAGAAAAGCAATAGTAGAGTACATGGTAGAACAATTGCGCTTCCCGCTAACATCAAATGGTTTACACTGCATTATCAACGTGACTAAACTTAATTTTCTAGGTGAACGGCACGAGTTGTTAAGCATGTGTAAAGGCATACCTACAGCATTTCTCCACAAGCAAACGGACCCATGTAATCGAAAGTTGTATTTAGAAATGGTTTAGAAATGGTGACGCTATCCTTAGGCAACGGCGAACTCTGAGATGCACCGAAGGGAAGTCCTTGCCATCTCTTGCAATGTCCAGCCGCACCTTTAAATGCATTGAAGGGACGCGGAATCCAATAATTAAGCCTTGCTATAGTTAGCGTGTGCTCTTTGCCTCAATGCTCATTTGAATCATGGATATCTCGTAGTATGAACTTAGTCAAATAGCTTTACGAAGACAAACATATAGGTGATTTTTAATGGTAAATTCGCGTTTTGGAGACGCGAGAAATGTCTTATGATACTGTTCTCGTCTTTGATAATGTTTCGATTTTTTGTTTTTGAAGATCTTTTTTCCTCAATATTAGTGGAACTCTCGAAGAAGTAACATTTTGCCAGATCTAAATTATTCGAGGTGAAGTTTACACCGCTGTCAAAGTTGCAGATTTTTTCAAGTATCATATCAACCGCTCTTTTTTCGTTCGTTTGAGACATCTTACAGAGAAGTTTTCCAGTTCTAACAAAGGTACGCAATACCCTATTTAGATGTGAAAAACGCTCAATGTCAAAGGTCTCCTGGTTTTGTTGGTTCATTTCAACCTCAACATTAATTGTAATATTATTATCTTCGTTTTCTTTAGGATACTCTCTTGGATGCAGAACATTAAATGGTGCCAGTCGCTCCAGCATCTGCTTATCGTTCAACCAATTAGGTCCTTTGACCCACATATGGTCGGATAGTTGTTCGGATGTAAGACTTCTAATTCCAGCATCAGCGGGATTGAAAAGTGTAGTGACGTGATAAAACTTGATAGTGCACTTTTTCATCTCCAAGCTTTCTTGGTTTTCTCAATGCCCTTGCGTTGATTTGCCACGAAAAGGGGCAATTTGTTTTCAGTTTTTAGCCAACAAAAGGGCTATTTCGCTGTCCGAAGCGACAATGATATTTTGACGGAAGTCGGTTGCTTGGGAAATTGAGTCCAAGGCGTAAGGCATTTAGAGTCCCAAGTATCTGAAGCCGCGGGATCGTCTGCTCATGTTCTTTTTTTTTTGAGAAAAGTTTGGTTTTTTCACATCACGTTTGTAACTTTCGTGTTCTCATCTATTAGGTAAGCACATGTCGCTATTGCCATTTTACTGGCATCAGCAAATAGCCATAGTGTTATTTTCGATAGATCTACGAATACTGTGGTTAATGGTCTTTGAATAGATACGCTGGCTTTATTTATAGCTGAACATGTTGTATTCCATTTTTTGTGTAATTCCATAGGAACACGGTCATTCCAGTTTTGGCATGAGTCAAATATCTCTCTCATCAGCGATTTGAGTTTCATTATTAGGTCCGACAATACCGAATGGGTCATATGTGGAATTAATTTTGCTAACTATACCCCGTTTTGTAAGGTGTTGTTTCATTTGGTAATTTGTTCTCACTGAGAATCGATCTGTTTTTGTATTGTAGCAGACTCTCAACAATTTTTGCTCACCGGATTCGGCACGGTTTTTGAATTTTACTGTTAACTGTCTCTGAGTTGGAGACATACTTTTTTAAGTTTAGCCCTATTTCCGAAAACAAAAGTTTTGATTCTTTAATCTAAGAGCTTCCTCATCGTATTCGGCTCTGAATAGTATTTTGTCCACATAAAAGTTTTTTGCTATCTCGTTGGAAAGTTCTGTGTCCCGTTTGCGTAGAAATGCGAGTAATACCATGTTTAATATGCTTGACAACGCTGTGATACCGAAGGGTAATCTTTTGAACGGTACTCTATTATGTTTGTTCGCACAAATGAGTTATTAAGGTACTTTAACCACAAGAATCGGTACAAGTTTTTGTGCGTGTCCTCAATCCGTATCCATGTGAATGCGGCCTCTATGTCGTAAAGGAGCAGAATTTTGACGAATCTACTTGAGATAAGTATGTCATGCACTTTATTGGAGAACTATTCTCCCTTAAGAATTATATCGTTCAGAGAGAGTT